GAGATCGATATTCCTTCCACAAACTCTCTGAAAACTTCCTACTGTGCCTTACCTTCTTCCTTCGTCTTTCCTTTCCCTCTTAGCATCCTTGTATGTTTCACGGGTTCAACTTGGAAAGGTAGTGGAGTATATTTTTTCTGCCTCCTCTGATGAGTTTGGTTGCCATTCTGGACTTGGGACTTTGGAGTCTCACCACGCACATCCTTAATTTCCATGGAAATATTTTCATCGCTGTTGTTGACAAACCCACTTCTTTGAGCACTTTGGATTTGCTTAAAACCCGTGCTATAATCTCCCTTGGAAGCCTTTTGGATTTTCTTCAATCCCACCTTTTTTTGTAGCCCTTCATGCATCTTTTTGGTTTTATTTAGCATATCAGCCCCATTTACGTGTTGTTTTAGGCCCATTTGTTCTAGCCCAATTCCTTCTTCAACAACTTCCCTTACCTTTACATCATTGTCTTCCTCCACCTGGGTCCTACTACATCTTCATAATTTCAAATTTTGGATGTAGTCAACATCACCTCCTCCCATCTCATAGATCCTACCTTCTGACATAGACCTTTTGCCTCTTCGCTTTGACCCTTTTGTTACCACTCTTACCCTTTCATCATGTTGTTTTGTCAAATGCGCTGCCTCAGAAAATATTTCCTTATAGAGTGACCACTTCGTATCGTATCATTCGTACTTCCATCTTCTCTTCTTACAATAGTACACTCTCTGGGTATTGCTTTTTAGGTAAAAACCAATGTTCAATGTCCTTTCCTCTATTTTTGTCCTCAACATCTCTGGCGATGTCGTTGTTGTTCCTATTGATGATTTTTCTAACAATGAACCATCAGTGAAAAACAAATCATCCTCCTCTTCGTATTCTCCTCCTATTCTTCCTTCCACTATGAATTCGATATGATTTTTCCTTCACCCTCCCTATTATCCCTGTTCCCCACCACCTCAACAAAGGTTCTATACTTATTTTTCCCTCCATTATGATGAATTCTTAGAGTTCCCTGAGTTGGTCATTTCTCTTCTTGCCTGAACCTTGTACTATTTATTCTGATTTTCCATGTTCCCAACCATACATTCTGTAGCTTCTCCTCTAACCACCTATTGTTAATTATGTTTGAATATTGTACAAAATCAAACAACTTTCCCCATTTATCCTTCTTCCGGAGAATATATACATCTGTAACTTTTTTCCATTTCTGGAAGAGTCTCCATAACTCCTCTACTAATGTTCCTTCTTGGAAGTTTGTAAAGTAAAAGAATTCTGAGGTTTTGACTACATGATCCACATAACTATCATTATTTGGACGATTGTCGTGTCTTCCTTGTCTGTGCCTTTTGTCTTTGTAGTTGTCTTATGTGAACCTCCTCCTCCTTTATGCCTCTGCACTTCTACACATTCCTCATTTACTTCTCCCCCTCTTCACCTTACATCTCTACCTTCCTCTTTGTCAGAAAGCCCCTTTCAGTGGCCTTCATCTCCATCGTATGTTTTCGCCACTACCCCCTTGCTTTTTGATAGATTGAGCATCTTTTTTTTTTGTTAATGAATAATAATTTTGTTCTTTCAAAGTAAATGTATTATTAATTTAATTTCTTAAACAATGTTATCATTATTTTTACCACTCAATCAACTGAAGGCTAACGTTGATATCACTTTTTTTTTATGATTGTCTTGACTTGGTGTCATTTACATCAAGTTAGTTGCAATAGTGATATCATTTTGTTTTTCATAAAATAATTCTTTCACTTTCTATAACTGCAAACTGAAATTTGTATCACCCTAAAACATGTTAAAAACACACAAATGTAATATCATGGTCTAATTTTACAATTTTAATTAAGTCACAATCAAATTTCCTCTTTAGATTAACAATTGTAATTCCTCTAAAATTTTAAAGATTAAAAGATATTTACATCTTCTTCTTTTTTTAACTAAATCACTAACTCTATCATCTATTAATATAAAATTAATGGTAACGATTGTTCCACTCATGAGAGAATTCTACTTTCTCTGGGAATACAATAGATTTTACTTTTTTTTTATTACAACGAGTGACTTATCTATACAAGGATATTTATTATAATGTAAATATTTAAAAAAATTATAAATATATCCTATTTGACATTATGAATTCTTGAGTTATTATTGATACTTTTATGATATGTTTTTTGACAAATTTATGGAACAATTTAAAATTTTTTTAATGAAGATTTTAAAAGAAATATATAAGTTGTTTATCTAATGACTTAAGCTTAATCAATTTATTCTTCGTCAAATTATGGTTAGGTAGAGTGTGTTGTCATTCAAGTCTTACATTGAAAAATATAAAAAAAGAAGAGGTAGAAAATGCTATAAATTGAAAGATTTATATTATGTTTACTCACCACAACAACATGTTGTCCTTTGATATACTTGGGACTTGAGTAGTTATGTGTTAGTGTCTATGAAAAAAATTGTAGATGAGATGCTTTATAATTTTATTAGGTCAAAATTACAAAAATAATAAAATTATGTTTTAAGTTCATAGGTCTAAGAAGGTGTAAATCACATTAAAGTTGTGTTTTTTTTTTTTAATTTTGGTTTTTTTATGTGAGTGCGCTTTTAGAAATAGAGAATGCAAATGACTTTTCTTTTTCTCTCTCCAAGAGTGGTGTCAGAGTTGAGGGTTTGCCTAAGTGATCATATCCAAAGCAAAATTTAGCTAAGTTGCACATATAAGACTTTGAGTAAGAGGAGATTTGTTGAGTTAGAATGAGTTATTCATTCAAGTTACACGTAAAGACACTTGAAGAAGGAATAGGGAGAAAAATACTATAATAATAAAAATTTATTTTATGTTTACTCACCACAATAACATATGTTTTCGGTGTACTTTGAGCTTAGGTAATTGTGTATCAGTTGAAGGTATGCAATTTTGTTTGTCCAAAAATTATAAGTGAGATGATTTATAATTTTATCCAAACCAAAATTAAAATAAAATTATGTTAAAAATATGTAGATATAAGCAAGAGATATTGAACTATATTAAAGTTGTGTTTTATTGTTTCTTTCATTTTATGAATGCGCACTTCAAAATTCCTTCCAACAAGTTGGTTAGTTGGAATTTATTGATTAATTTTCAAATTTATACTAAACTAAATTAATTAAGTATACTTTAACTATTTTTATTTAACCTTCAGGACATACTCAAATTGACCAAAATAAAGTCTATAATCCCTAAGGATTTATTTGAATGTTAATTTTTGAAAAAAGGGAGTAAGAGATGGAAGCAAAATGCTCATTTTATGATAACCCTTGTTTAGATATTTTTAATTGATAGGAAAAAATTTGTATAAACCCTCAAAACCACTTCTCTTCCCTTGTTTAGATATTTTTAATTGATAGCAAAGTTTATTTAAGTTTCCTCAAATTATTATTTTTTTGTTTACCTTCTCTTCCCTTGTTCTCCTCAAATTTTTCTCTTCACTCTCCTTCCAAACTCTTAAACAAAACTAAATAAATTTCACTTCCCTCATTTATACATGTATCATAAATTATTCTATGTTCAAATTGTAATTTGTTTTTGTCAGACTAGGGTGTTTTAAAATATGATATTTTTCAATTTCAAACCAAAAATTATTCAAACCAATATTAAAAAATATTTATGATTTGATTTAACTCCATTAAAATATATTGTTATCAATCGAACCCAATTAATGTTTGGTTCAATTATTTCAATGTTCACAATATATTCAATGTGAGTCACATGATATATTATATTCTGGTCATCAAGATGACAAAGCACATTTAATGATAAACTTCAAACGATTTGTTATTTGATTTGGTTTCCTTTGCATGGGAATCGAAAACTAAATAGTAATCAAACTAATTTAAGTAATTTTTTTTATAGATACCTTAAAAAAAAATTTAGGCGGGTCAATTTTAACTATTATCGATCGACAGTAAAGATCCATCTTCGAGCATTTAATATAAATGCGTACCTAGAACTCAAACAATACTAATAATTAAGCTAGAATAACCTATTCTAATTGATCCATGCACTTTGTAGTGCGCTTAAAATTTTTGTCACAATAAAAATGGAAGCTTATAAATTTAACGGAAAATACTTTTGACAAGGATTTGAATTGGCCATGAAGAATTTTAGAGCCCATTTATTATGGAATGGGAGCAAGCCACTGTTCGAAGCTCACTTTGGAACAAAAACAAAAAGATGATGGACTCGGCTCAAACGAGAGCGACATCAACTTGTGTTAAATTGCACGGTAGCTCGAGTTTCAAGGGAAGAAGACAAGTGGCACCAAAATAAACCCGAAGAAACAAAACAAGAATCTATGAAAATCCGAAACAATACAATCTATGTTCTTCTATACCTAAAAAAAGCCATGCAAAGTTACAGGGCTCATAATGAATATCTTCGCAATGGCCAATTTTTATTTTTTTTTCTCTTTTGGTTTCCTTTCGTTCAATTCAGACATACACTGTCCTCTCACCCATTTCAACGCGTCGCATCGAGCTGGCAATTCTGTTTGCAGAACTTGCGCAGTTCGACGAATCCACATTCGCCATTCAATGTTGGAACAAAACGCAATCCAAGTTTTCGCTTTTTCCCATTTCCAAAACCCAGTTTTGGTTTCCCAAAAACCATTATTTCATATCCATTTGCGTTTCCCTCGCGTGCCATCACATGTGAAGAAGGGAGAAGAAGGGTTCAATTTCCTTGCCATTCTGAGAATATCATAATAACTCGATGGCTCCAAAGCACCCTAACGACGATTCTGATTCTTCTTCTCCTTCTAAACCAAGCAAGGATTCCAAGAAGCAATCCCGGAGGGGTGCTCGTGACAAGGATTCATTTTCCCCGGAAAATGCTTCGAGTGGGGCGCCACCGTCTCAGTCCAATCCTCCACCGCCACCGCCACCTTTATCGCCACGACCTCCATCACCATCACCATCACTTCCACCACCCCCACCATCGCCACCGCCTCCATCGCCACCACCATCACCCCCACCCCCATCCTCACCTTCACCGCCACCACCTTCTTCGCGGCTGCCGCCTCCGCCATTGCACAAAGACCATTCTTCCCCTCCACGTAAACAATTACTACCACCGCCACCTCCTCCTCATGAGTGGTCTTCTTCTCCACCTTCACGAAGTGCACCTTCCAATGATTCAATCTTAGGAACCTCTGACGAGTCAAAAAAACCAACGGGATTAAGTTCAGGATTAAACAACCAACCCATGCATAGTGGTAATCATTTCAAAGCGGATTCAAAGGGTTCTTCATCTGGTTCATCTTCCGCTGATAATTCAGAAAAATTAATTGGCTATACCCTCGTCGGGGTTTTTGCTGTTTCCTTAGTGGCTATAGCAGTAGTTTTTGTTTTCAGTTTTAAGAGGAAAAAGTCAAAAGGGGATGCCTATGGTGCACCCTATTTGCCACCTAATTTTTATGTTTCAGGTAATGCATGTTATTGTTTTGATTAGTACAAATTGTTAGTTGTTCTTTTAATCAAAATCAGTATTTTATCTTCCTAACCGATGCCAACTTAGTTTAGGGTTACAATTTTTGGTAATGGATACATTGTAGATCTTGTCAATTTTTAGTAGGAAAAAACAGTACTCTAAATTACGATACTGTATATAAATTCTATCTTTTTAATTTTTGGCATTCTATTTGGTACGAATGATTTTTACACTTTTTTACCCAATCAAGAGAAGTGAGAATATGAGTGGAGGGAAAAAATATTGTTTTGAAAGAAATTTCACTGTTGTGTCTTTTATAAAAACACTGTTTGTATCTGTCAGCATTTTTCTTTAGTTATTAATTGCCTAGCTTGCTACATTTGTTTTCTTGTCTAATGGTGTTGACCCTCAGGTGCTGATTGGCGTCACTATGAACAACAGCCTTTCCCACAATTTTCCCCTGCAAACAATTATGGAAATGCAAATGTAAGCACGAAGCATGTAGGAGCTCCTTTAGACTCAGTACAGCCGAAGAGTGCTCAGATAGTTTTTACTTATGACAAGGTTATGGAAATAACCAATGCATTTTCTAGTCAAAATGTGATAGGGGAAGGAGGGTTTGGGTGTGTTTACAAAGGTTTGTTGCCAGATGGAAAAGCAGTTGCAGTAAAGCAGCTTAAGGCTGGTAGTGGGCAGGGAGATAGGGAATTCACGGCTGAAGTTGAGATTATTAGCCGAGTTCATCATCGACATTTGGTATCATTAGTTGGTTATTGCATAACTGAGCAGCAGAGAGTTCTCATCTATGAGTATGTTCCTAATAGAACACTCCATCATCACTTGCATGGTAACGTGAGTTTCTCTTGATTTTTCTTAGAAAAAGATAATTGAGTTTCATATTTGCTCTCATATATGTATCATTCGGTTCTCATGTTCGTATTTATATAATTTCAGGAAGTGGAATGCCGACGTTAGACTGGCCCAAGAGGCTAAAGATAGCGATTGGTGCTGCAAAAGGTCTAGCATATCTGCATGAGGATTGTAAGTTTAAGTGGGCTCAGTTAGACTCAATTGTCGTGTTGGTTTTCAAACGATGCATAGGAAGCAGTGTAAGAATAGCATAATACAAGTAGATATGCCTGTTATCCTTTTTAACTGAGTCATAACACACTTTCTGTTCTCTGAACTCTTAAGACTCTCCTGCCCTAAGGTAATTCTGCGATAACAATTCAGTACATCTTAATTATGTTGTTATCCTTGCATCCCTTGACTGTGCATGATGTTGGATGAAAGTTGCTAGAAGATATCAGAAGTGATATGAAAAATCTACTGAACCAAAGAACTGTCCCAAATCCTAAATAAAAAATCTTACAACTTACAATATGAATTACTATCAGAACTCAACACTGCTATGACGTTCATTTCTCCCTTTAATAATTCAAGTCTATGTATTTGTGTTTTATGATTTTAAAGAGGATAGAAATATTGACTATGCTTCGGTTTTTTGAACATTTCTCCAAACACCACTGTGGTGAACTCTATAAGGAGAGCTAAATTTTAGGTGGTGAGTTTACAACTAGATCATCTCTCACAAATAAAAGGTAGAATTTTGAAGAGGGAGAATATTTAACATTTTTCAGGACCTAACTAAGGAATTATACAGTACATGACAGTTTTTTTGGCTTGGGGAGATAGCTGCCTATAACCTGCTAATAGATTTTTTCTATTTCATATTTTATATCAAAATTTCTTATGTCAATGTTAATTTTTCAATTCTATAAATAACTAAAGTATTTTATCTATCTCTAGGCAGCCAAAAGATTATTCATAGAGATATTAAGTCCGCTAACATACTTTTGGATGCTGCTTATGAGGCAAAGGTATGCATATATCTTTTTGTAATGCACCATTATTATTATTATTATTTTTCAATATAGACACATTCTCTCTAAATGAGAATTCTGGATGCTAATTCACCCTTGTTTTAAAATAGGTTGCAGACTTTGGACTTGCAAGGCGAGCTGATGCAGCTAATACCCATGTATCAACTAGGGTTATGGGGACCTTTGGGTATATGTTTTCTATGCCTTAAACAAAAGAGAGTGTTAAGTTATCATGGGATATTTGGAGTTTCTGTGAAATGTTTTACCGAAATTTTTGTTTTAGGTACCTCATCTAGTGCAATAAAGCATCTTTAGGTGATTTTGGTTAGTGATTACAACTTATAATTGATTATTGTTATATTAGAGATAAAGTATCTTTAGTGTGGCTCAAGTTTGAAAACATCTTAGTAAAACTTTAAGGTTTGATTCTATTCCAAAATGCCTTATCTGGGATCCATCAAATATATAGTTTAACAAAATAGATACTTTGTGGATAACCTTATCGAGACTAACTCATTTTGGCTTCAATTTACAGGTACATGGCTCCAGAATATGCAACAAGTGGAAAATTAACGGATAGATCAGATGTTTTCTCATTTGGGGTTGTCCTCCTTGAGCTTGTAACAGGAAGGAAACCCGTTGATCCAACTCAGCCTTTGGGAGACGAGAGTTTGGTTGAGTGGGTGCGAATATACCTTTTTCTATTTCATTTTTTTTCATAATTATATTTTTATCACAATAATTTTAGTTTTAATTACTCACATTTAAAAATTTAAAGAATTGAACGTGGATAATTAAAATTACAAATATTAAAATTGTTATAGAAACTAAAAATATAATTGTTTTTTTTTTTCTTTAAATAAACTGAATCTAACATGCATCAAATAAGTTGTGTTGCAAAGCCATGATGGGACAGGTGATGGAAGGGAAGAGAGAGACACAACACAAGAAGTGGCAAGTGAGAGTGAAAAAATCTTAATGTACATAGAAACACTTCAAAGCACTTCAGAAGAATGGGCGTTTACCATTTACACTTATGTGTATGATTTTATTGCAAATCCATGATGGGACATGCGATACAAAGGGAAGAAATTAGGATTCATATTACAGTATGCACTTACAAACCGGTTATTTTCACATTGGTTCCCGTTTCTCTCCACTTTCCGTTTAACGACCAGATACAATAGTAATAAAAATAGAATTCAAGTTTATGAATATAATTACTACTTTTAACTGTCTACTTACAACAATCAAACTATGTTTGTGTCACAAATTAACGTGTTGAACCGATGATTCTGATTATTCTATTTCTTATGAGATTGTCTTGTGTCCACAGGCACGTCCACTTCTCCTTCGTGCAATTGAGACACGTGATTTTAGTGCACTGACAGACCCAAGACTCGAAAAACACTTTGTGGAGAGTGAAATGTTCAGAATGATTGAGGCAGCTGCAGCTTGTGTTCGCCACTCAGCTCCCAAAAGGCCTCGAATGGGTCAGGTGATAATAATACTAAAAGAAGAGCTATGTTGTAATGCATCAAAACATCCATGTACTCTTTTAAGTTTGTGCTTGTTTTCTTTTGGCAACAATATCTTGCTTTCTATTTTTATTTTTTTTCTAACAATTCCATCTCAACTCATTGAAGCCATTTATTTACTAATGTTTCTTGTGGTTGATTCCAGGTGGTAAGAGCCTTAGATAGTGGAGACGAAATACCTGATCTATCTAATGGGGTGAAATATGGTCAAAGCACGGTTTATGATTCTGGCCAATATGATAAAGACATTGGGCTATTCAGGAGGATGGCCAATGGCAGCGTTGTTGATTCTGAGTTTGATATGTATAGTAGAGAAAGCAGTTTTTCAAGAGATATATCAAGAGGTTCCCAACATGCAGGGATTTCAAGTAGTTCTAGTAACGAATCAGAATCTATAGCTTTCAACAGGTGTAGGAACAGCACTGGATGAGTACAGGGATTGAGCCTTTGAGGGAAACCATACAGCAGCACATAAATGACCAATGATCATACACATGGCCTGTATCCAATTCTGTATATAATCATCACTTAATTCTTTTTCTCTCAAATTTTTTGTTCTATTTTCCCCCCTTTGATTTAAATACCAGGGGATGTCAGCAGGTTGTAAAAGGATAAGTTTGTTGAGGTCATTTCGACTCATTAGTATTAGATGTTCTTTGTGATGTTGAAAGGATTGATTTTCTTACTACATATTAGCAATAATAAAATGATATTAATAAAAAATAGTTCAAAATTTACCGTATTTGAGAATTGAATATTTCTGCAACCATATCAGACCATAAGCAAGAAAAGATGATTACCAAACATAAAATGTATCTTTTAGGAATAAGTAAATTACTATTGCTAGGTCAAGAAAAATTGGATATAAAATTTATGCTTCTAGTCCAACTTCTATAAAGTTACGTGTGTTGTTTATTTACAGACAATAACCAAGTTGTTTGCCAACAAGTGATTTTTAACTTATACTCAGAATGGATGACTTTACTGATAACTGTGACGTTTGAGTACATAATTTCTCACATCTAAATGCAATTTTAATGTACCGGGCATGCAAATTTTGAAAAGAAGCTCTTGCTTTCTTGAACACATTATATCACCACCATTTTCCTGAACCTCTTAGGTACTTTGTCTATCATCACTTGTTTTCTGTATTAAATATTCTTTCAGTTTCGTTGGGTGAATATCCTGCTCAATTGCCTGTGGAACAAAATTTAACCTCATTGCATTAGAAAGGGGATCCTATGAACTAATGTAATGAATAGAACTGTGAGAGTGAGGCGGGTAAGATAGAAGAATGAATGCTTTCAGATGATTTTTTTAGTCAACCATTCTTTAAATAATGCAAGTTACATTTTTTTTCCACATTGCTTAATCCCTCTATGAAGGGCAGTAGTGGATACCATGTTTAATTTACCAAACCAAAATGGAATTTGAAGAGTGTTTAGTTCTGGAGTCCTGAGCCACAACAACAGCAAATTAGCTCATTTACCATGGTGCTCCATATTTTAAACAAATTAATGCACTTGGCTTAAAATTATAGTTTTAGATTCTTACCTCAACCGTCAAAATGCTCAGGACTTTGCCATCAAACGTGGTCATATTGACATTAGCCACCTGCAGTCCAAATGAATGTATAGCTTCCATCAACTTTGAAAACCCACCCTGCTTCTGTTCACCGTGTAACTTAATCAAGAAACTTGTCTTGCTTATGTGATGCACTTCTGCTTGGGCCTGCTAACATGTTAGCAGATTATATTAGTTCACTAAGACAGGATGAATTGAAATTCAGTTTCTTCCAAGACTTGGAGAAAACAATGAAGAGGTTATGCTGTATGTTTGCACCTCCATCTGTGTCTTTTTAACACAATCTGAAGAACTTTGATTAAGAGGGTTAGTTCTGGTTCCTCCTTGTTTTTTGCCTGCTTTTATGTTAAATTGTGTGTTCTTCTCGCAGTCCTGTACTTCCAAATCCCTGACCTCATCATTGAGCTTCTTTACTTGTATCTGCAATTCCTTTATGTAGTCAATTGCATCTGCAAGAATTGCTTCTCTATCCATCTGCCAAAATTCAACAGATTAGATACTAGGAAAAATTAAGGACAACTAATGTTATACATATGCTTCTGAGTTACACAGTATGGTCCAGTTTAAATAAATTTTTCAATAAGTACTTCTGAGACAAAAATGAGGAAGTAAAGTGTATCAAACTCCTCTCTTAAGTTAAAATCAACTTATATTTTCTACCTTTAAAGAAGTTCTCTCGTTTAACTTCTTCAAAACTTTTGATACATAAGTTGATTTTAACTTATTTATTTTATTTCCTTATTTTCTTCTCCGATAATAAGTAATTATTTAGAAGTTTACCCAAACTAGCCTATATCTACCTTGGTTATGTTAGGGACTAGAGACCGCAGAGTAAAAAGCCCTTTTTTTATCTTGTTTCTCCTATTCCTCTCTGTGACAAGATTTTTAGCACGGAAACCATCCTTTTGAGGCTCCTTGACCAATTTTGATTTATCCTTTTCCCCAGTGCCACAATGGGAACTCAAACCTCTCTGCTTTTTCCCAGAAGTTTCATTGTACTTGGGCCTTTTATTTTTGCAAATAGGAGATATTTTAACTGGTTGCTTCAGATATTCATGTGGAATCGTGCGAGCAAACGTTGAATCAAATGATGGTTCTTCAGTTGAAGGATTAGACCCACTGGAGGGTCCTTCAATGCTAAGATGGGAGCTGCACTGTTTTGTTGCAGGCAGGTGGATACTAGGAGTTAAATTTGGCATGTGCTGTGGCCAGCATTGTGAGTATTGTTCGCTTAATGGAAGCTGTTCTTTGATGTTCAGATTGGTGTAGCTCTGAGCAGATTTGGCTTCTTGCTTTACAGTGGCACAAGCGTGTGCTGTTATGAACTCAATGGTATTCATATCCATTGGAATCTGAGAAAGATTAATACTTTATTAACATAAGAGGATACAGAGGTGTTGCAACCAAGGATCAAGATTAATATTATACCAGTTTTGCAGTGAAGAGCTCTATAAGACCACCAACAATAGGGATTAAAACTTGGGTTCCAATTGAATCCTGTCAAAACAATGATTTTATGATCTTATTAAACAAGGGGAACCACCATTAATAATTCTAAGTTAAAATGTCATATATCTCTGCCTGTATGCATGTCAATTTGACAACTGGGGATATAATTTTTGTGCAACTCATGAGTTTTTCTAATAAGGTGATTGTTTCAGCATGAATTTTTATCTGGAGTATCACTGATTGTGGATGTTCATGTATTAGTTAACTCAAACGTCATAGTTAATCAAATTAAGGGAAGAATAGAATTTGCAGAAGCCATCAGAGAACATTAAGGGGACTAGTTGATGCCTTTACTAGCTCTTCATAAATGTAAAACCATTTCTACTCACAAATGGGAAGTTTCATGCTATGATGGATTGGAAGTATGGGTCCAACCACGTAAAAAAATGAATGAGTAAGAAAAAATTCTCTTTTATTGCATTAAATTGATATCAGGTGAAAAATAAAAGAAATAACTCAAAAGAATAGTAAATTGTCTGATATCTTAAGCCATAGAAATGACCACCTGGGTAAGCCATCTTGATTGTTGTGATATTGCAACTTCTCCATGGACACTAGATAAGACAATTTTCGTTAGTTTTTCCTTTCCTTGGCCAAACATAGAAAACACATATTTACCAAATATGTGTGTGTGTGTGTGTCGAGAGAGAGAGAGAGAGAGAGAGAGAGAGAGATGACGACAACAAACAGAATGAGAGTAAGAGAGAGACCCAGAATAGAGAGACAATGCAAAAGGAAGCTGGGCAAGAGCCTCACAAGCCTTTGTTCTAACTGAATGCTGAAAGGTGTCTCTACAAATGGGAGCCAAGTGGTATAGTTTACCCATTTCCTCTTCAGGTTTCACTTCCTCGATGTTTCCATTGCAACTCCCTCTACAGCAGCAACCCACCCACTCAAAAAACCTACACAAGGATCAACATATATTAAAGACCAAAATTCCCAAATGAATGAAAAATAAAACAAAAACAATAACGACAATAATAATAATAATAATAATAATAATAATAAAACTTGTGTAACAGTACCTAGTTGGATCATCTCCATATTTCCAAAGAACAACATAATCCCAAGCCTTGGTTTCAACAAGGGGTCTAAGCCACTCTACTACACCCAAACCAGTCATTGTCTTCTCCTATGAGTGCAGGACTTAACTTTTGTGTATAGCTTTTTGTTACATGGACCTTTATATGTCCCCTTTATAACAGTCTCCAAAATTGAAGCACGTGGTACACGACAAGTTTCCTTGTCAATTACGGGTTAGTGTATCATTCGAATCAGTAGCATATCTCTGACAGTGGGAATCTTGCACCTGCCAGTGAATGATGGCCAGAAGTTGTTTTTGACTAACTTACCGTGCCTAGTAATACTACAAAATAACCATTTTTTAACAAGTTGCATTGAAAGCAACCCATAACTGCACAATCATTAGATTCTTTTCATTTTTATTTTTTTTAATCTTCTTTTCTTTTCTATGGGTTGGATATATATTTGTATATTAAAACAATGTGGGATATATTTTCCCAAGTCCTTTCTGATTAGGCTGTGCAATGCTGCAACCAAATTCCTGCGGGGCTCACATTTTATCAATTTCGTTTTCCCCACATGATAAATCTCCATGAGAAACGCAATTCTTTGAAAATGAATCCAATTTCTATTATTTACCCATTCTCACTTGTTATTAGATCAGTTGTTGTCTAATTTAATCTCTTTAAGTTTCCAATTTTGGACAGTTTCACTAACGAGCAAAACCAAACCTCATGAGACATATTGGAGATGATATGATTGTTTTGCAAGGAATAAAACATGCATGTCTTCATTTTGAGATCTTCTGTTTTCATTTCTATTTTCAAGAATATTAATTTCAAGGTCAAGGGTACATATATTCCCTTGGCCTGCACGACCCGGTGTGTCCTTGCTAATAATGAAATCCGTACTATTAACATGTCGTTTAAACTTCAATATAGTACTGCTACTATCATACTATGCCTTCACAAACTTGTTTCAGAATCCATGACAACTCAAAACACACACAGGTCTGTCAAGAAGAGAGTGTTGATAGCAATTGTTAGTAATTTTCTATAAAATGCAGAGGTAATGCAGAAGAAGAGAAAATGGATCCAAAGTATATTGAAAGAGGAAAAACAGAGCTTCACCTTTCTTCGTACCAGGAACATTACAATTTAAAGTTGAAAATATAACTACCCACTAACAACATGAACCTGCACTTAAGCCACAATCAGTAACACTTAAAAAATAAATTAACTGCTTCCTATGGACTACTACAAGTTAACAACTAAAAACAACAATAATAGAAAAAAAGAAAAAAGAAAAAAAAGATGCACCTTGTGTCGAGAAGCAATTTCCTAATAGATGATGAGAAAGAATTCAGAGATATAGATAACTGTGTAATTCATAAATTGTATTACAAAACTTGATTTAATAACTAACAAGGTGATATGTTCAGCGGGTAAGTGTACCTATCGAGAAGTAATAAAAGATTCTTAAAGATATGAGATTAATTAAAACAAAAATTTATAAAATTAACTATAAAACTAATAGTAAGAAATATAATGCACGTTTTGGTTAAACTTATCGGAAAGGAACCTAGGGCATATGAGTTTTCTCATTTAATCATTTATGTTATTTTTCTATTTAACTTTAAATCTCATTTCCTTATGATTACTAATCAGTTATACGAATACTATTAATACCCAATGGTCATGCAATATTAATATTCTTTTCTCTAAATTAACATCCTCAATGGTCATGCAAGACATCAAATTAAGAAAGCTTAAAGAACCTATGAACTTGTTAATTTAATAATGATTAGAAGAGAAAGATTGATTTAGTCCACTTAATCCTTTGTCTCGTTTTACCTATAGATCTATTAATTAACTGAGATATGGTCGCTTGATGATATAATTAATTAGGATTAAGAGAGAAGTACAATAGGATAAAATATAATCACGAAACAAAAATCAAATTTAGATTCAAACGTCAAAACTCCATAAATTCATGAATAATAGTTCCTATAGCTATGGACTTAGTTACTCATGCTAAAGAAAAGAACCAAAACAATCATAAACAAAGCCATAATTAAAAGAAATAGTAAACTAGAGTGTGAGATGTGTTCTCAATCTTCAAGTACGATCGCTCAAAACTCCAAGTCCTGCCAAGAGTGTGCAAAGATCTCGTGCAAGAGAGACGAGATGAGATGTATCCCAGAGCAAAAGCCAAGGTAAAAACGGTGTCCCCTACGATGCCTGAGGTCTCCTTTTTAATAAGGTTTGAAAACCCTATTGACTCTTCATAATTGGACTTTCCGCAGATGAGCACGGCCGTGTAAGATCTTAAGCACGACCGTGCATGGGCTCGAAGCACCCCGTACTTATTGAATGGGTCTGAGGTGCTGATTGCTGCGAAACTCTAATTTTTCATCAATTTGGACCCAAAATACACTCAAAATCTACTTGCAGCCTCTTTATACCAAACTGTACAATTAATATCTATATTAGTGTAAAACTCAAATAAAATAACGGTCAAATATGAATATATGGACTGTAAAAGAGGGCCTAATTACAGAGTTATCATGATACAATCACCTATTTAGAATTTTATATACAATAAGAAATTTAACAAACATTTAAAAATTCCTTTTAACAGTCAATTACAATAATAGAAAACTAATACGATTGTAACACCTTTGCTCAAGCTGGAATGTGAATATCTAGCATTCTAAGCTTGAATCAAAGATAATGAAAGGATCCTGTTGCTAAATATTTGATTAAGATATCTGTGAGTTGGGATTGAGATGAAATAAGGAGTAAGTGAAGCACACTATTTTTATTTTATTTTTCTTCCTGGTAAAATATGACAATCCATTAATTAATGTGTTTAGTCCTTTCATGGAAAATTAGGTTTGGTGCAATGTGAATAACAGACTTGGTATCATTGGTATCATAATTGATAATAGGCAGAGTGTGAGTCATGTCCTTCATAGGTTGCTTGAGCTAGTGCCCAATATTCTCCCTTTAAGGATGACTTGGAAATTATTTGTTGTTTTCATGATATACGAGATGATTTACGAAAGAAGCAAAAGTTAGTGACTAGTCATCTATGATGAAGAATGTCAATACAATAATACAAATACAATAGAAGAGTGATAAGGAACGAGAAAATTTTTTCTCAAATGTTCAAGAATAAGGGCACAAATAAAAATAGAGTAAAAATATAACCACAAATAATACAAGAGATAGATAATTGTTAAGGTTAAAAAATCTCTTAAAGTAAGGATAAAAAATCATGAGTTGTCTCGACAAAAAAAACAATTTATTATGAACAACAAAGGGTATAAGAAGGTCTCCAATGAGGGCACAAACCACCAAATCCAATAGTGAATGAGTCCGTAGTTGTAATATGAAAAATGACAGTTTGATTATGTATAAAAATAACAATGAGTTCTTTTTTTTTTCTTCTCTTTCAATATTTTTATTATAATAAGACTCTTTCTCCATCGCTTATCAGGCCCTTTCCACTAGTTTTAGTGAGACAAATAGGCCAACATATTTAGGTCTTTCTCCATATAGGAAAGGAGCTACAACAAACCTAACAATTCTTCTCTCACAACTATGTGGAGGTAACTGCCAACTTGGCGATCTCACAATAAGCTTAAAACTTTTCTTTTGGTAATGTTTTAGTCATCATATCAACACCATTATCATTTGTATAAACTTTGAAAAACTACAAAAAAATTAGCATCTAAAACACCCCCTATCTAATGATACCTCACATCAATACGTTTAGACCTAGAATGAAAAGTTGGATTCTTACCAAAATGAATAAAATTCTAATTATCCATAAATAATAGACACATTTATTAAACAAAATCAAGCTTTAGCAAGAATTTCTTCACCTCTAGCAACTACTTACATGCTTCAGTCATGACAATGAATTCAGTAAAGCTACACATTTCTGTAACTTAGAATATCAAGTCATAACTCTCCCTGCAAATTTAATCAAGTAACCTGTAGTGGACCTCCAAGAATCAATGTCTCAAGTCATATTTGAGTCTGAGTACTTCACCAAAGTAGGCTTATCACTACCAAAACAAAGCCTTATGTCAACAATATCATGAAGATACTTCAAAATTCACTTCATAGCTTTTCAATGCTTTCAAACTAGGTTTGATATAAATCTACTAATTGTACAAACAACATGTGTTATATCAGATCTTGCACACCCTATTGCATATATCAAACTACCCACTACAAATGCATAAGGAATTCGTTGCATATCTAATGTTCTCAACTTCATTTAATGGACTCTGTTTAGAATTTAACTTAAAATGAGCTACAAGAGGAGTGCTCACCTTTTCTGCCTTTTCCATATGAAATCTCTGCAACACCTTTTCAATGTAGTGTTCTTGTGATACCTACAAGTTCTTTTTTTTTTTGTCACCCAAGATTTTTATACTAAGAATCTATTTAAAAGCTCCTAAATTCTTCATAGCAAATGACTCACCCAATTGTTTCTTTAACTTGTCAATTCTAGAAACATTTTTCCCAATAATAAGTATGTCATCAACATACAATAATAAAATAACAATGTTATCATAAAAAAATTCTTGACAAAGACACAATTGTTAAAAGTAGTCTTCTTATTGCCTTGCTCACACATAACAAACTCAAACTTCTTGTACCACTGCCTAGGAGCCTACTTCAAACCATATAGGCTTCTTAACCTACACACATAGTCTTTCTTGCCTTTAGTAATAAAGCCATCAGGTTTCTTCACTTAGATCTTTTCCTCCAAATTACCATAAAGAAAAAGCAATCTTTACATTCATTTGCTCTGCCTCCAAATCAAGATTTACATCTCATTTTCTTCTTCACCACCACTATCATCATCATCATTTATGTCACCAACATAATCTTGTTTAACATCATTCTAAACATCACTATCCAAATTCTAAGTAGGTGAGTGAAATGGATCAATATCAGTCACGTTATTGTCTTCCTTGGGAGAAGACTTATTTGCTTTATCAATGTCTTCAATGGTTTGATCTTCTATAAACTTCACATCACGACTTCTAGTAAGCTTATTCTTAACAAGATCATAGAATTT